GAGCACCTAAGTGCTAACTTTTAATGAGATAATTTTGGCAAGAAATTTCAGTTAAATACATGGTCACTCTTGGCTATTCTCCCCACATTTTTCACTCTTGTCAAAAGGAAGGTGTTTGTTAAAATGTCTGTGTCTTCCAGGCTGGTCATTTGTTTGTTAGATGAAGTAGGATGTCAGAGTAAACCATACTAGTTCTTAGACTGCCCTGAGAATCTGGTCTAATCAGTGATTAATGACTTCTTATGTTTATGATATAGAGGTACCACTGGTCAGTGATGCCTGGAATAATTCCAAATGGCAGGAAGTAGGAGAATTTTATTTCCTGGAGGCCTTAGATGAAGTGTGATAAACAAAGCTCTTCCTTAGTATTGTTGTATGTATTTGAATGCAAAGCATGCATAGCTTTTATAATCAGTAGTTTGGGAATTGTTAATCTTTGTTCTTTCTCAGCAATACCTTTAAAAATTTAGCATACAAATAGCTTTATAAAATTAGTCCTATTAGAGACCTAGGGATACTTAGCATTTTTATAATTTTTTTAAAGATCTCACTGTTGAGTTTTGTATTTTATGATAACATAATGGGTTTGTAGTAATTATAATGTAAATATTTTGTCTCTAAAATTTTTGCAATATCTGTGCATAGCTTCTAGTAATGATGTGCTTTCATCAAGTTAAAATAGTTAAATCATCTTTTGAGGGTGTCAGGATCAGTAGAAGAATGCCATAATTTCAAATAGGGAGAATCCAAATTTTTATTCTCAAGGTGTGTGTGTGTGTGTGTGTGTGTGTGTGTGTGTGTGTGTGTGTGTGTGTAGGTGTGTGTATGTGTGTGTTTTACTATTTAAATTTGTTTAGAGAATGATATGAATAGCCTGATAAATTGTTCTTTAACAGAGTAAACCAGTTAACTTTAGAGAAAAATGGTCATTACATTTTACGCTGTGCACTGTCCAGTTAGTCTTGAGGTAACTGCTAGTTTGGTATTTAAACAATTATGCAACTTTTGCCCAATGTTTGCTGTCTCAGCTTTTCTATGAGCCACACAAGATAAACACCAGAAGTGGTGATTCTATCCCCTTTGATTCCTTGGATATTTTTCTCTGGTATTGTCATTCTGAAATGCTACTATGTAAATTAATCAACCATATTCAAAAGGCATATCAAATACTGACTAAAGAGGGTGAGTACAGATTGTGTGTGTGTGTGTGTTATTAGGTTGTTGTTCCTTTGTAGCCTATATACAAAACAATGAACAATCCTTTGACAGTGTTCATGAATCTGCAGGGTTATACACCTCTACCATATAGAACATATAGACTGCCATGAATATTACTCAGGACCCCACCAAAAATAGTTGTCAACTTTGGCTTCCTAAAGTTGAGAATTTTATACTTGCCATATATTTTGTTATGTATTCTAAAAATGGAGGGATTTTAAGTATGCAGAAGGACACATATATGCAAAAATACCCTTTATAGTAGTAATCTGAGTATATGATGCTTGGTATCTCACAGTAGTCCTGGAACCATGGACACTGAGTGTGTGACTTTAGTTTGTAATTCACACTGCTAATTACTCTTCATTATAGAATGATTTCAAAATTAATGAGTCCCATAGTAAGCACCTTATCCTTAGCACTTTAACCTAGCCACTTTATTAACCATGATGGCATGAGGAAGATGTACATGTTTCATTCATGGAACCTAGTGGGTAGGGAGATCAGCAGATCCATATGTCACCAGCTTGGTTAATTTATTTTATTCATATCATTGATATTCTTATAACACACAGATTCTTTAAGTCATTGCTATCCTGTGGTATCATATTCCTTTAAGATGTGATGAAAACATGGCCCCAAGGAAGATGAACACAAGTTCAAGGCCACCTTGGTGTGTACCAGCTAAAGATTTTTAAATTAGTTAAACACTGCATAGGCTTTGTGTAGACTTCCTCTTTTTAAATGATATTAAGTCCCACGGTTTTCCTGTGCTGGGGTGCACTGTGAGGATGAGTTTCATGAGAGCTAGACCCTGGGAATGTTTTCCTCTTAGGCTGCAGAGGAAGAAGCTCTTATGAAATCTTGTCCCTGTAGTTTTAGCTGCAGAAGAGCTCCTCTTGCCTTGGCTCTGAGCACTGTATACAGGGAGAACAGACCTTCCCACTGAGAAGTCAAACAATGATAAAATGGATACTCCAAAGAAATTCTGGCTTTGGATTTCTTGCCCAGATTCTTGGCTTTTATTGCATTTTATTGTTGGGACTAACTGATGTTCATTCCTTTCAAAGCACTAGAAACTGGTAAAGGCAGCCCGTAACCAGAAATTGCTTACTCTGAAGGAAAAATGATGCCTTCAGTTTTGTTTCAGCATTATAATTAATGAAAGACAAAGTTAAGGTTTTTTTTTTTTATTATTTGAAAAAGAGGACATGAAATTGAGATGGGTGTTAGGTGTAGATGTTGGAGAATTTACGACTGAGGGATGAATAGAAAAAGGTATATTCATGTATCATATCATTTAAAATATGTCTTAATATTTGAGTGATATTTTGACAAACAATGATTTAGAACTAGCTTTTTTTTTTCTTTTTCTCTTACATAATGTATAACACTGGACGTTTTTAATTCAAGTCAAAGAGTGGGCACATTCTCTACACACTTGACATTTTGAAAATCCCATATGATGAAAACCTTTCTTCTCTAAAAACGTCTGCCTTTCTCAACACACTGACAGCAGTAGTACAAAGAGGATGCCAGCCACCTTTGTGGATGTGTTCTGTTGACAATGCCATCTGCTGTTTACAACCGAAGTAAACTTAGTTTTCCTCTTGATTTATATAATCTCACAAGGTAATATTGTACAGATGACCTTTACCCTTCAGTGTGTTTACACTCAAAGAAGCTTCAAAAGGTGTATGTTCCAATTTCCTTCCAGTGTATATACTTTTCATGTCATTAACATTTTCTCGTTTAAACGTTTATCCCTATTACATGGACTCCCCTTTCTTTACATGACAATCTCAAATGCTTTTGACTATTTGATGAGAAGTTTAAGATAAATAATTAAATCAGATACAGCAGTCTCAAAGAAGTTATACCACCTGATTTCTGCTCTTTCCAATAGTGTTTTTGCTAAATGTTTCTTATATTGTTCAATTTAACCCAAGCAAATGAGTTCCTTTCAAAGGGGTATACTTATTGAAATAAAGGTAATTCTTTTATTTATCTGATATTTTGTTAGTTTTTTAAAGAGCCACTGAAAGATGGGATAAAACAATGGATTATGTGAATATTATGAGCAGGTTAGACTTAGAAATAGTATTGTACATATCCATATTTTGTGATTAGTAATATAATAAATACTTCACTTCTAAAATGTATTTATAATCCCAGAGTCTCTAAACACTTCTTTTAGTTTCATTTTCTGTTGCTGTGACAAAATGCCCTGCCGAAGTGACTACAGGAAAGAGGGTTCATTTTGGTTCCCAGTTGTAGGTTAAAGTCTATGTAGCGGAAACCACAGCAGTGAGAGTCATGAGAGCTGGCTGAATCCTATCCAGGTGCTAGCAGGAAGCAGACTACACACATGCTGTGATGTGCTCTTTTCCAATCCGAGGTTCCCTGCTCAGGTGCCACTACAGTAGTGACCTCTCTCACCTCAGTTAACTTACTCATGATTATCCCTGTAGACATCTTCAGGCCATCCTGACCTAGATAGTCATCGAGACAACTCCACACATTCTCCTGATTGAGTCAACTTGACAGTTAAAAGCAACCATCACAATTCTGATGTCTATTTACTAAACGGTTGTGTTTCTTGACATCTAAGATTCATATTTTAAAGTTTTTCTTATAGTTACCATGATGTGAAACTGTCTTCTAACCATATGTTCTATGTGAACACTTGAATTAGGAACCATCTATTTAGAAGAGTTCCCATTTCGTTGTTCTATATCCAAGTGATACCACATTAAAGGAAGTTAGTGAAGTTATTGGTCATAGGCTTTAGAGTTCTGTATTAATGACTTCTATTGGGTTATTTTTGTTTGTTTTATAAATTGTATGATACATTTTTGTCTCAACCTGAGAAATGATACATTTTGGAATATTTTTATTAAATACATAAAAATGCTAGAAAGTAGATATCTAGAAGCAAAAACAATAATTGAAAATAAACCTCAAAGAAGTGGCTTTTTGATGGATGGAGATTATATGAAATTATGTTTATATAAATATATAGACAACTAACATGTGTTAATTTGAGTTTCATAACTAACACAAGCATTGTAATATTTTATTCTGACATTACCTCCTTACATTATTTTTAAAAATCTCACCTTTTACAAAAGTATTCAAATTGTCCTTTATTAGATTGTTAACAAATAATAATCTTTACATAAAAAGTAATTCCTTTGTAGTTTTCTGAGGTTATTAGTTTTTCAAACCTCTAGTTTGCTTTTTACAATCACCAATTGGGTATTTAACTATTTCACTTTTAACTATTACCAATACTAGATAATTCTTCAGTAGTACCTATGTATGAATTGTTTCAATAGTTATGTTACAAATATATACATTTATTTTGGTAGTACATGAGCTAAAAATCCTAATATGTAACATGTCCCCTTACTCTGAGCAGAGTAACATAAACTTAGGCTTTTGTGAGAGGGTGGGGTGTCATCCCGAAGAGCAGGTAATTACTTTCTTTTTCTGATAGGAAATGAGAGTTATTGTTTATCGGCCATTTGTTGATTCATATGATAAGGTCAATAGGAAACTAGGGGGTGACCCAGTTTTAAATTCACAGTATTGTATGTGGTAAGTACAGTTTCAATCTCATATATTCCCCCTGACCCAGAAGAAATTATGTTGAAAACTAGACTCTTAATTGTTCCATCTCAACACTTTTCTGAAACTGAACATGTTTTCCTTCCTTCCTTCCTTCCTTCCTTCCTTCCTTCCTTCCTTCCTTCCTTCTTTCTTCCTGCCTGTTTTTCTAGTTTAGGCTTGGTTCCTTCAACCTAGACAAAGTTCCAAACTCAGCTGAAATCATTAGAGAACTCATATGTTACTGCCTGGACACCATTGCAGAAAAACAAGCCAAAAACGAGCACCTGCAGAAAGAAAACGAGAGGCTCCTGAGAGATTGGAACGATGTTCAAGGCCGGTATGTACACAGTGTGCTTGCATCAGGCAAACACTGAGCCCTTTCATTCCTGTAGAAGTAAGCTAATGATATATAAATTTACAACATGTGTAGAGCAGGCATTTTATAAAGACCTTTCCTAATTATTCCTTTACTCAATTTTATTCAACCACGTTATTAGTGGCTGTTTTGTAAAGCAGCAGAGTATTAACCATTTCAACTCTCTAGAGTCAACAAACAGGAAAATAAGAAGTGACTGTGAATTGAGTATCACAGCCCATTATTCTACTATTAATATAAAATTAGTCTGTGTATGCTGCCTGCTGAGAGAATGTGTGCTGAGCATGCACATGGCCTGACTTAGACCCAGCATTTGGGAAGACTAGGGATAATTACAAGGAAAGGATTACTGTAGCTTAACTTCTAGGGTTAATAATTAACAAAAGGAGATGGGAAGAATAAATAATTACAGTTGACCTTTTGTTGTAGTTAGTGGATAATTACTATTTCACATGCTGTCTGTTTTGTCTCCAGTGGAGATATTTCCCCTAACTGAAAATCCATGCTAAAATAATTTTTTAAAGATGAAGTAATTATGGCTACTGAATAAATAAGATATTGAAAAGTCTTTCATTTTCCCAGATTTGCCTCTTGGGTTTTTTTGTTTGTTTGTTTGTTTGTTTTTTGTTTTTTAGGAATAAAACTGATATATTTCTTTTCAAGTATTACTTTTTTCATGTAAATCATAATGTATTCTCACCTAATATGTAATTTACATAATTCTCTTACATAAAAGGTGTTTGAACTGAGTCATGAACACTTACGTGTTCACAGAGACAAAAGTGGTATTTCTGTGTTTGTGTGTAAACAGTGCTTGGAGTTATTGTTATATATATATATATATATATATATATATGTTAGAAATTGTGCTATTTGGTAATTTGTTTTTGAAAATCTCTCAATCAAGGTATCCCATTTATTTAAAGTTATTTGTACTTTTAGGGCAACTATTGTGATGGCTCTATATGGCTATTAATAAGTCCTTGGGGGAAGTATATATTAAAGAATTGGATGGTTATCCACAAATGTATATGAGGATGAGAGTAGCTAAGAGAAGTTCTTAGCAATTAAATTAAATAAAATTAATTATGATAGCCTATGTAAACTTAAATGTCTAATACCTAGTTATCTTTGACTTTCTTGCTTTGTATTAAGGGAATACTTGTTCTCTTTTAGCTCAAAATTATTTTTATATTCAGATATATAAACTAAATATTTAAATTAGGAAACTATATAGAAGATCAGTTAATTCTTCTCTTAAACTTTTATTTTCTTCATTTAATATGAATCTATATCAAATCTATATACAAACATTATTTGGAATGATATCTCCATAGTCTGATTGTATTTTTCTATTTTCTATATGAAATAAATCAAATTAAGGAGATGAACTGTGATTGTGATAAGCCACTGTATTTTTATATTAAAACTCAAAATATCCTCAGTATGACAGGAAATTGGATCCATAAATTGCCCACAAAAATACAGACTGGGTACTCTGTCCTTGAGCAAATTGCTTTAAAAGGTCTACAGTAACTGGGGAAGTCCTGTCTCATTGGCATTCAGCGCACCTGCTTCAGAGGCAAGCAGCAGGGCATGAGGATGGGCCTGGATACAGCACCCTGTGCAGTGAAAGCAGGTGTGAGCATCTCTTTCTTCTGTGGAGCTCAGATGTTTGACTTGCTTTCTGGGCTTTTGCCTACCAGCAACAAGGCATTTCCTGTCACTTGTCTTTTATGATTGCCCCAGCTATCTTTCTGCTGTCATTGCTAGCTCAGATGACATTGAAGTGGTCTAACAATGTGTTGCCATAAAGGAATTCTCTTCAGAGAATTCTAGGCTTTTGTTTGTATACCTGAGATTAGTGAATTTACATATTTCCCAAATTTGCTTTACTTTCTTTTGAGGAGGAAGTGTGGTGACTCTGAGGCTCTCTCAATACACTATGGTCTTTTCATAGTGCTCAGCAAGCTGGCTTCTCTGTGGCAGGAGTATTGATGAAGAAGTGGCTTTCAAGGGATTAGAAGTAGAGCATAAATGCACTGTGTTCAGAAGCTGGAGACAGAGAAAGTAGGCACGTATCAGAAATTGGGCCCTGTTATTCTCACCACAGTTCAGTTGTCAACATTACCTCTGATGGTGATGGTATCCTTTTATGATCCTAACATTTCTTCCCACACCACTGTGCCTGGACTACAGATAAAAGAAAGAAGGGCATAAGCAGGCACTAGAAATTCCTTCAGAAACTATGGTGGAAGGGTCTAAAATGGCATGGAATGGAATAGGAAATAGTATGACCAAACCCAGTAATGTTATTGTATACTTATTAATCCCTACACTCTTCAGGGTTCTATTTCAGGAGATTTGTATACTGCCAAATATATTTACATTTTAAAGAGAAGTTAAATGGTAATAGAATATATCTTCAATTGTGAATTTATTTTTTAATTGAAATAATAATCAAAAGCATATATGGATTTCTTTTGCTTTAGTATAACAGGAATAAACAAGGCTCAGAAGAGGAGTAAGAAATTATAGAATAGATAGAAAGTATGAACTTTAATGCACAGGCCTTACCATGTTCTTGTTTTTACTGTTTAATTACCATCCAGTAATTGTGCTCTTTGCTCCCCTTTGAGCAAGCTTTGTTACAGAGTTAGTTTTGTATATTTTAAATAAAAGGAAAATATTAGAAATTTGTATGTGAATCCTGATGTTATTAGCTGTATTTATTTACTGGATTTCTTACTTAATTTCAAACAATAAGTCTCAAGTTCCCTATTACTGAGTAAGCTTTTGTTTGCAGTCAGACCTCAGTTTAGAAATTCTCTGACTTTATTGTGAGCTACAGTTATTAAACCCATAATAGGAGGCAGTCTTCAGTGAACTGAGATGACTGAATTAGCAAGCCTTGCAAGCTCTTTGCCTTTGTCTCTGTGCCTTCAAGGTAGAATCGCATTATCTACAGATGAATTCAGTCTGATTTTTAAAGACCTCGGGGGATATCTTTATGTCTCCATGGCAGCCCATTAGATTGTTTAAGAACAGTTACAGAAAACCTTTTCTTTAGAGAGCAGGGAGACAGCTGTGGCCATCATCTTCCTGGCCTGGGGCCTCATTCAGTCTCTGCTGTCACTCTCTTCTCCAGTTCTCAGCCTTCTTCAGCCACTCTGTGTTGCTCAGATTCTCTTTTGTTACAGCCTCAAGCTGCTATCATTTGGGCTGGAGCTCACTGATAATAGAAGGGTCCTTCTACTCTTTCTGTATCACATGCTCACATGCATGTACCTCTTTCTTATTTTATTTGGGCTACTTTTTGCGTGAAATTTTAGTTTTTTTCTTGCGATTTTTTGGTGCCATGCTGTTTTTTGATTGTTTTGCCACTCAGCAATATTTTATTTTGATGCATTAGTATTTTTTGTGTTTAGTATTTATTTATTTGTCACTTTTCAAAAGTACTGTATTCTGGTCTAACTTCCCAAGGCCCTAATTACTGAGATTAATGATTAATCATAGCATTATTGTTCTATGTCATGATCAGTTTTGAAAGGGTAAAGGTCATTAAGGCTTTTCTCCTTGATGCTACAAATGGTGTCATCCCATTTGAGTCTGGCCTCAGAAAAGATCCTTGGACTTTAGTTGTGCTCTGCTTCAGTGGTCTGTGGGTTTGTTTTATTGTCCTCAACTTAAAACAAGTCCCATGTTACTCTTTAATTGATGGCCTCACCTAATAATTTTTTTGTTCGATTTTTCAGATAGAAGTTTGGCACGAAGCAAGTAATATGTAAGGAACAACAAATGTAGAAGATGGGTTTTAAAGATAACATAGGCCACAAGCTATGCACATCTTAATTCCTAAATTCTGAATAAAAGGGTAATATTCTCCTAGTCAGTTGAGAAAGTAATAATTGAGAGTACATTTGTGTTCTTTGGCTGTTTATAACAATACATTATGCAACTCAACAATTTCTGGGAGGCAATGTCCTGTTTGATGACCAGTTTATTGCAATAAAGGCATAAAAGCAGGGAAGGCTAACTTGTGTAATGCACAGCTTTTTCCTTGTAACAGAAGTGATGTGACCTTTCATGATATACTTGAGGTATTGTTATGCAGGTTAATAATACTTTTTATGAAAAATATATCAATTTCATCTTGATACCTTTTCAAAACTTATTATACAAGGTATAGTTTTCATGAAGGTTCATCAAGCTAGATAGTTTTGATAGTTAATATATGTTCATAATCTTTTAGTCAGGAACTTCAGGAAGGTTTATATGAAAATTCAATGTGTAATTAAATCCAATAGATTCTGAATTTGTTGCTATTTCTAAATTTTTTATAAACAGTGTGATATGTATTAAGTTTTGCTTTCTACATATTTGTATGTGTCTAAATTCTTTATTGTTATGAGATAGTTTAGGTGTGTGTGTATGTATATATATATATGTGTGTGTGTGTATGTGTGTTTATATATATGTGTGTTTTTATATATATTTTCATATCTCCTATTCATATTTAAATTTCTTATGACATTACATTAGAAGATACATGAAAATAAGAGAATGTTCACATAACAGTTTGCATCTGAAATTAGCCATAGACCATTACTGCCTCTTGTATCCAATGAGACAACACAAGTTTTCCAAGCTCTCTTTTTCCAGTGTGGAGTGCCTGAAAGGATACATACCCTATCTAATGCTCTTTATTAAAAGTCCTCAGCCCTTAGCAGGGACACAGTGCTGCTGAAGAATTCAGACTAAGTTCCTGGTTGCTTGCCCATTAGTATATAAATGGAAGGAAGGACTACCAGCAGAAAGGCACATCTCCAAGAAAGAGAACTTCAAAGAGTTTGTTACATTTCTCTCAAACCAATCCAATGCCTACCTGCTGCCTGGCTTGCATCTTCGAAGACAGACTCAGAGCATCTATGCAAGGGTGTGTTGAAAAGAATAGGCACTCTTACAGACATATAATAAATCAGCAAGTGTGCCAGAAACAAAAAAAAAAAAAAGAAACAAAGAAACAAAACAAAAACCTGTTCCTATGAACTCACTGTATTTGTTTAACACATCAGTGTGTACTGAACATCTCTGCTAGGCACTGGGATTGAAGCAATTGGTAGAACACACATGGAATCACAGCCTTAGTAAAATCCATGCTAAAAGAATTTGCACTAATTAGCTCCAGAATAGCATTGTTAGATGATCATTTTCATCTTAGAATACATTCTCTGTATTTTTAAATAAATGGGCTGAGGGACATATTAAGATCTGAAGAGTATCACATTTTGGCAATTTCATTTCTATGCATGTGTACATATTTGTGCACATTTAATTACTAGGATACCCATGGAACACTTATAAAATACTACTAGGAACCTATAGAACATGCAGAGTCATAAAAATAAAAACAGGCAGACCACAACTATATTTAAAAGAATGCTTTCAATGAAATAATTTCTGTTTAACTTTGTAAAATAGCCATTTATTAATGGAATGTTTATGTATACACCAGGTATATACGACTTCTCCCTATCTTTGGGGTATTAAAATAAATGAAATACCTTGAGTTTTAGAGCATTCTACCATCATTTCTTTGTACTCTTCTTGGAAATATCAAGTGGTATAATTCAGTTTGTCACATATATGTTTCTATTTAGTTTTGTGTGTGTGCATGCATGTGTGGTGGATTTTAAAGACACAAATTGATACATTTTGTTCTTATGGAACAAGTCATAGTCTGAAGACTGACAACAAATTAGGTATATTGCTTTAATATAAAATATGCTAGTAGCTGCTTTTACAATAAAATTAATGTACTAAAGAAACCATGTATTTGGTTATTTGAAATTTTCATGATATATCCTTTTGTAAAATATGTATGAATAAATTATTATGGTGGAGTACTCAGTTTGAAAAGCATTATTTCTACCCATTTATGTTTTGTTCAATTCTCTCCTTAGAACATTTATGATTTTGAAAGCATGTGTAAAAATGACCTTAGTTATTTTCACTTTCAAGTTTCCTTGAAATTAGGAAGATGAGACTGAATACTTTTATTGATATAAAGCCTATGAATTACAATTTGTTCACTTGTTAGATTTTTTTTCCTTTTTTTAGATTTGAGAAATGTGTGACTGCCAAAGAAGCCTTGGAGGCTGATCTGTATCAAAGATTTATCTTGGTGCTGAATGAGAAGAAAACTAAGATCCGTAGCTTGCATAAGTTGTTAGATGAAATCCAGCAGCTGGAAAAGAACTTGGAACCTGACAGGTACATCCTCTATGCTTTAGCTACCAGCTTTAAATCTAAGTAGAATGTCCTTACAAATTGATGGAAAGGTAAATGCCACTTTTATTTATAATTATATATGTATGGGTTTAGGCATTCTAGCATGGGAAAGCATGTACTCTATATATCCATGGTCTCATTTAAAGTACAACATACAGTCATAACCTGTAAAAATGGCATGGAATTTATGGTGGTTTGAAAGATAATGGTCCCCAAAGGGAGTAGCTTTATTAGGAGGTGTGGCCTTGTTGGAGTAAGTGTGGTCTTCTTGGAGGAAGTGTATTACTGTGGAGGCGGACTTTGAGGGTTCCTATATGTTCAAGCCATTCCTAGTGAGATAGTCCACTTCCTGTTGCTTTTTGATCAAGATACAGCCAGCACTATGTCTGCCTTCATGCCCCACATTGCCCACCATGATGATAATGAACTGAACCTGTGAACCTGTAATAAAGCAACCTCAATTAAATGTCTTCCTTTATAAAAGTTGGCATGGTCATAGTGCCTCTTCAAAGCAATAAAAACCCTAAGAAAATCAGGGTTTAATTTATTTGTTTAATTCCTAGACATTTTGAACTGAGAAATATATCAGTTAACAAAACCTTTCACCTACTCCAAGGCTGAACGTAGGTTGCACATCTATAATTTTTAAATCTAAGAAATGATAACTTTAGGTCCAGCTAATGAATGCTAAGTTCAATGGGGCGATGAACATGTGTTATTTATTTTCCATCATTATCTTGTTTTTTTTCTTTCTTTCTGAAACAATTTGTATACATGATTAATGAGGGAAAAATTCATAGATTATAACTGGCAAGTATAGATTTTGATAATTTTAAGTGTTTTTAGTCATTACCTCATATTGATAAGATTGGGTCTCCCCTGAATCTGAAAAGAAGCAAAGGTTTTTGAATAACATAGTATAAAGAAGATAACATTTGATTTTAACCTTTCCTCTGTCAGGTGCTGGTCTGGCACTAAGGGGTACTTGCTTATGATACTGAACAATCATATCAGCTCTCTGTTCTTCAGTTTGGGGGCAATTTAATGAAATAAGGAACTGCTTTTAGATTTTTACAATGCTAAGCACTGCCGTACAGAGATGAGTTGGTGGAATAACATTTTGATAGAAGAATAAAATGTGATAAAATAATTAAGTAATTAATAATAATGAACATTAAAAACAAAAGTTTACTAAACAAAATAAAACCTATTTCTTTTTATGGACTTGTTCTTTAAGTGATTTCGTCTAAATCACATAATTCTCTCTATTTCTGTCTGATCAGAACCTATTTCCCAAGAATATTTTCTATATTTGCCTACTGGTAAATAAGATAGATACCCAGGCATGAACTGATGATTTCTGGTTCTGCCTCTCTGTTCCCAGGGAAACTAAAAGTTCTGAAAAAACAACTGACCAAGATGCAATCTATGATGGAAGTACTGATGAGGAAGATGGAGGTTCTGTGCAGGTCGCAGGTGAGAGGGGCCCTTGCTTCATATGTCACTTGGGCTTACTACTATAATTAGAAGCCAAAGTAAATTATCTTATGAGAACAAGTTTGTCTGTAGAATTCATCAAATATGTTTAGCCTAAAATTTTTAAGAATATAACGTTAAAACTAATATCATAGAATGTAGCATACATACTTACACTGGAGCTCCTTTTTCACTGTTAAACGAAGGCGCATGAATGAGAAGGCAAGACATCCACATGCTAAGTATCACCATCTCTGAACTAGTGCTTGCTTTTCATCTCTGAGATCTTACGAAGCTGGCCTCTGGAGAGTTTGGTCAAGTTGAAGCCATCTCTTCCTCCTCACATTCTATTTCGTAGAAAGGGTAAAAGGGACAGATAAAATATGACATCTACTTGGCATTGTTTTGAAGCATATTTTTATCTTCCTGGTCTTTTGCTTGTATATTATGGTTTTAGATTTTGTGAGTTTTTCTGGGTTTCATTTCTGTTTGTTTGTGTGTCTCTGTTCATATTTTTCTTTTTTGTTTTCATTTTGTTGTTGTTCTAGTTTGTTTATTTGCCTGTTTGTTTACTAAGAGAAAATAAAGGTTGCAGTTGAATGTGTGGATACTTAGTAGGAATCTGAGAGAAGACAGGGAAGGGAAAACCTGATCAGAATATATTACATAAAAATTATTTACAATTAGTTTTGTATCTCTATCCATTATATATATTTATATATGTACAAATATATGAATGCCACCTTATGTTTCTTTTTGTTATGTTCATATGGCTTCAAAACTATTTCTGTAGTAATTAAAATGCAAAAAAAGAGAATATGTTTTTTCCATTTTAAACTTTTCAGAATTTGCAATGGACTTTGATTTTGCCTTTAAGTCTAAATAGCATATCTCTCCAGCACATATAGAGAATGAAAATTAATTGATGGGAAATACATCATTAAGTTTATATACAAGAGATTAGGGCCTTTGATGTGTTATGCCTATTCTTAGCAAAGCTTGTATATAATTGTAGTATTTTAAATTTGGCAACATTTCCCTCTTAGTTTATTTCTTATTTTTCCTTCGTTTTATGTGACATTTATATAACTCCTACTTAACTATATATTTAACATGTATGCCTCTGGTTCTTTTTTAATTTAATTATTTGGTCTTAATAAAAATGAATCCCAGATCTGAAACTGTTGATGTTGAACCCCAAAGTTGATTCCACAGATCTGAGATAAAGCACTGTATATTAGATAACAGAATGAGCCTCTCGAGATTACTGGGTTCTACAGTGAGGCGCTTTGCATCCTGGAATATAGCTTATCCTATGCTGCATGCCACAGTCATTTCAGGGTAGGTTACTGACTCCTGTTCTCCCTCTGGTAAAACAAGTATGAGAAGAGTCAGTGTGGATTACTAGATTTGCTGTGTCCTTCAGAAAGCCATTTCTGAAAGTGTTTGAAGGTATAATTTGGTAGTAATTTTATTATGTGACTTTTTTTGAGAAAGAGTATCTCTGAATATTCTTGACTGTCCTGGAACTCACTCTGTAAACCAGGATGATCTCAAACTCACAGAACTCCTCTGCCTCCTTATTGCTGGGATTAAAAGTGTATGCCAACATACCTTGCAAGTCCTCTTTACTTTTATGCATTTATCCAGAAGTAGGATCTAGATATTGTAGTTTGAGAGAATAAATACATTTTTATGAATAGAAAAAGTAATTTTATTGATTTGATTACCCAAAGTTTAAAAAATTCTTTGTCATTAGGGCCATTAAAGACTGACCCTGGAAAGCAGTCCAGTCTCATAAACTGTATCATGCTCATATAGAATAAAATCTTCTTGTAAAGCTGGGAATAGAACTCAGTGGTATAGTGCATCCCAGCATATATAAGGCCTGAAGTTCAATTCCCAGCATTACATAAAATAAACAGATCCTAATGCTCTTCCAAACTGCTTATTTGCTAAAGAGATTTCCAAGTGTCTTTACTTGGGGTTCCTGTTGCTGCGAACAGACACCATGATCTTAGCAGCTCTTATAAAGGAAAAGACTTTCATTATCAAAGGTTTCATCCGTTATCATCACGGCAGGGCATGGTTGCATGTAAGTAGAGGTGGTACTGGCTGCACCTTGATCAAAAGGGTATGGCTTGGGCACATATGAGACCTCAAAGCCCTCCACTACCATGGCATACTTCTGCCAAAAAGGCCACATCTATTCCAACAAAACCACATATCCTAATAGTGCCTGCCCCTATGAATTTAAGGGGGCCCGTTACATTCAAATTACCACATCATGTATCCCCAAATGCACAGGCAATACATATTTTTCCATAATAAGGCTTACTTCCTGACTATCATAATGTCCAGTATTTTGAGATAATTTAAAGTATCATTAATTACTTCATTTTTAAAATTGGGACTGTGTGCTAAGGTACTCTAAGCTTGTTAGAATTTTGTTTCAGATTAAGATTATAACAGCTAAAATCTCTGAAGTCACTATAGTGAAACCTTGGATTACAGAGAGAACTGGGCCACCTTCATTCCCATCAAGCTGACTTTAATATCTGTGATAATTTTAATGTCATTAAGAATTTCCTAGGTGTTCTTCATTCCCCTCCCTCAAAATATTTTTCTGTTTATTTTTCAGTTAGAACCTGAATGAATATATAAATACTGTGAACCACCCTTCTCTACAGGAAACTGTGTTTTTGTGTCCAAATTGAGAAAACTTCTTACTTTAGTTTGATGAATAATAGCGCCTCACAAAGCAATAGTAACTAGTAAGTGTGCAAGTATCTGATATAATGTAATAAATAACTTTTTCATTCTGAGCTTTTTTAATATTATTTTACAACTGTGTTGACATTGTAAGAGTAGAGCTGTACATGAAAATAAATTTAATCACATATGACCACTCTACGAATTTTAACCAGTTCAAAGCATTTCAGGTCTTAGTATGGTTTAAAAAGCAAACAAATTTTTGCTAAAAAGCCACATTTATTTAATAGAGATTGACTTTTCTTTTGAAACATTTTTATCACATATTTAATCACTCCTAATTAGCCATGATGTAAAGAATTGTATGTAAGATTATTTAGCTTTAATAAACATTGTATTTGAATAATTGTTAGTTTACTCATGAAAATTGGCATTGTTAATTGGCATTGTTTCTTACCATTGCAGAATATTTGAATTAGCCTTACTCAAATCTCAAATGCAAAAATACTTTTCTACTATGTTTTGCCTTTCTTTCAGTGAAAATTAAAGCAGCACAGATATCAAAAACAAATAAAGCTTTCTGTCCATTTCTCTGCATAATTATTTGCCCAAGATTTTGCACATTAGTTTAATTAGTCCTGCTTCTTAACCAACAGGAAGGTCCCTGTGTAATTTCTGTCAGTCATTTGGGTTTCTACTTAGTTGCTAGGCTTCCTGGAAGGAAGTGTGATTATAAAATAGCCTTTTTGAAAATAAATGAATGGCCATGCCAAACAGTGGATGAATACTGATACAGTTGCTTTTAAAAATAGAACAGAATCTAAAATTTCTAAGTATCAAAGGGCTTGTTGCTTTGAAAAGTGAATCTCCACTCAAACAGGGGAGAGCAAAATGTACTGCCAAAGAGATTCCTCAGAGCCCCAACCTTGGAACCATAAATATGCTCTTAATCTTATCCAGCATCCTTATCGTAGATGCATTTATTTAAGAATTCTAAATTGGAAGCATGATTTATCAAAACCTATCTCTGTGCTGAAATACAATTTGCGTTGTTTCATAGCAATAGTGGGGTTTCGCATGTATGCATCATTGCCAGAAACAATATTATATACATTTTTCTAGAGAGAATGAAGTCCTTGGAAGGTCAGTACATTACCCTTGCCCACAAAGAAGAATTTTTTAATTGCCTTCTAAAACAATAATTTAGCTACATTTGTAACATATGGTTGAAATATAAAACACTTGGAATTCCCTAACAATGAAAATAGAGCCATTGAAAAAGGTAATATTAAGGACACTTAGTTCCTAGAGAGATATTTGTTCTGGAGACTGTCATTACCATAAGTTGAGCAAGTCAGACTTTATGTAGTTTGCAGAGAAAATTTCTAATGAACTCCTTGTTCTGCTTGATATTTCTTTGAAATATTTTAAAATTATCTTTTAATATAATATCTTTACACTGTATTTTCATCATTCCTGCATTTTCTCCAACCAAATCCATAACTTTTTCTTAAAATTACTGTTGTTATACATATAGGTATATTGGTTCATATTATTATAGATAAAATATATATTTTTGTGACTACATATATATGCATATATACACACACACATATATATAATCTAGTGAGCCTATTTATTGTTGATTAATTTTGTTTTTTAGAGATGAACAGGTGATATTGTAAATTAATGGTTTACCTCCCTTTAGGGGAAGAGGCTGACTGTCTTCTCTTAGGATTCATTAATTGTCTGTATCTTTTCATCTAGAAGCTAAGAGAGAGACAAGCATGACATCTCACCCCCCTGTGACATATCCCTAATAACATTAGCTTGGCAACCAGTGTTATCATTCATATATTGTTAAGCAGACATACTGTTTTGGCACCATGGATGCAGCTTTCCTGTCTTATAGTCAACACAATATCCTAACAAATGTACTTGGCCCTTGGCACTCAGAGTTTCCATCCATTTTTCCATGGTGTTCCCTGAGCCTTAGATATATTATTGTGTTATAGGTGTTTGACTTCAAGACAACTATTTTTACTTTTTTGTGTGTTCTTGAAGAAACAAGAAATTGTGTTTTAAATGTTCCTTTGTATAGATAGTAAAAAATACTAGCATCTCCTTTCTTTTCAAAGTAAGTGTGAATATAAAATTGAAGAAACAAACAAGTAAACAAACAAAAATACTTCAGAATATCGAGGAAGGGCAGGCAGAAACACAAGAACTGCTTATACTTAAAAAGCTAATATAGTGTGGTTAGTAACTGGCCATCTGTTGCATTTTTA